CGCCCCGCCGCCGTCTCTCCGTCACGTGACCGCGCCCGCCGCTCTCCTTCCGTCCGCCATTTTAGGTTGTGTCGGTGGCGGCGCCATTAAAAAAAGAGTGAAAGGAGGAGGGCTCGGTGCGCTCCTGCCGGGGCCGCGATCGGGGGGCAGGGGCCTCGGCGGGGAAGGGGCCGGCCGGCGGGCGGGCGGGCGGGCGGCTGGGCGGCGCGGTCGCTGGCTGTCTGGCCGGCCGGCCTGCGCGGGTCAGCCGCACCGGCGCCATGTCGGAGCAGCAGTTCGCGATGGACGCGGCGGTGGCGGGCGCCGGAGGCAACTCGGCAGAGCCCGCGGAGCAGCCTGAGGGGCTGGCGGGGGCTGTGGCGGGGGGCGCCGACGGGGGAGGTGGCGGCGGCGGGATCGAGTCGGAGGGAGCGAAGATCGACGCCAGCAAGAACGAGGAGGACGAGGGGTGAGCCACAGGGGCCCAGCGGCTTTTGTCTCCTTGGCGGCGTCCTGCTGGGGCGGGCGGTGTGTTGCGGAGCCGCTCGGCCCGGCCCGGCCCGGCCCATCGCGGCCCCGTTCGCCGCCCTGTTTGTTTACTTGGCGCCCCAGCGACGTCACGTACCGGGCCGGGCTGTCGGGGGCGGGACGCCGGCTGGGCTCGGCGGGCAACGCCGCTCGGGCAGCCGCGTCTTCCGGTGTGCTGGAAGCACCGGGCCGCGAACAGTAGGGAGATGGTGTGCCGAGGGCGGAGCGGCTCGGGTGGTAACTGAAGGCTGTAAACTTAAACACGGCCCGGCGTGCTCTTGGGAAGTACAGCCGGGTCGGTAGCTGGTTGGCTTTTCGGCGTGGCAAGGAGTCGGGGGACATCCTGTGTTCAGGGTCAGTTTTGAATTTAGCGGGAGCAGCGCTGTCACGGAGTTCCAGATGCTGCTGTCAAGTGGGGAAAGTTCCATGCCCCCGTCAACCCAAATCCTACTGCCGTTAGCATTGGGGATGTCTTTTCTGCAAGTTAACGTGTGGTACATGCGTTAAAGCTGTAAGTCAGTGTAGCTCAATGCTCAGGTTGCATTCACTTAGTATCGCCCTCTGTTCCAAAAGTATGTCAGTTGCGTGTTAGAGGCATGAGACACCTTGACTTCTTCAAAGTCAAACTATTCCTCCTATGCTCCTGAAGCCTGCTTTGAGGAAAATTGTTCTAGGTGACAAGAATGAATCATAGAATAGTTAGGGTTGGAAAGGACCTTAAAACCATCTAGTTCCAACCTCCCTGCCATGGGCAGCTTTTAACCTTCTGAGGGTCTGCCTGATGCTTGGCATAAGGCAGTATTGCGTTCATATAGCAGGTGAAATTGACATAATATCCTAGTTACAGGACAGGCTGCTGCTGTATGCTGTCTCCTGTCAGACCAGTAAGAAACTCAAGCTTAAGATCTGCTTTTGATCAAGGCAGAAAATCAGATACAGGAACACTAGCTCTGTGTGCTGTAGGGACTTGCTACAAAACCTTCCCAAGTGTCTGCCTCCTGTAATAACCTGGGATGCTGCTGAGAACAGGGAAAAAACAGGAACATTTTCTCAGTGTTTTGCGGTGTTAGCGAAAACTTAGAATGTTTTTATTACTTCTCACCTGCTCTTAATGGCTCTAAGTACCTTTGCAGTTTGCATATTTGTTTTACTTTCTAGGCCCTTGAATACACACCTGTTTGGAGGTTTTCATGAGGAAGCCCGTCTTTTTTTGAGTCGACACAGCCTGGAAAAGGTTGTCACTGGTGCAACGGTTACGTGTGGCATACACTGACTTGTAATTTAGTTCAGTGAGGTGTTTTGACCTGCCAATTCTTAAGGGTATTGCTGTACAGGAAACAAAGTGTTTTGACAGCCCACTTGGTAGTAGAGGGAGAACAGCATTCTTGGTAGCTGCTGGTTGAGGGTACATTGGTGTGTTTCCTTTGCATTAGGAATTAGAGACAGTGTATTCAGGAAGAAACAGGTTCACGTACCCTCAGATCTCAGTGAGAACTGTGGGCTAGGGAAATCCACATGTCGCAAATGCAAGGAGACTTCCTGACTAGCCTGTTGGAGACCAAAGCTATTAGTGGTGGTGTCTGTGCTCTGTTTAGCAAAGCCTGAAAACTTTCCAAGTATGCTGATGGTAAATTATTTTGGAAAACTATGTCTGCTGATGCGTCTTACACCAGCCGGACTGTGGTTTGGGAAACTTACATGTTTTACAAGCCTTTGACAGCACTGTGACATTGTACCTTAATTGTTGTGCTCATGTTTGTGTTGTAACCGTAGTCTGACCTTAGTTTTGCAGTGGAGCAGTAGTTATTCAATTTCAGTAGTAGTAAACTGAAGCAGTTCATGTTTTGCTGCTCTGTAACTGAACTCATTGATGCAGTTACTGCATGGTCAGAAGAGAATCCTTTAGAGGGCTGGTAGTTTCAGTGTTGTGTTCTGTCATGTACTTAGTGATATGTTAACCGTGATTGATAAGGATTAATACTACAAGGTTTGTATGTTAATGGTTTGTTGATAACTGCAGAGCAGGTGTTCTGTATATCAGGTAGCAAGTGTATGTTCAGTAGTAACTGCTAGAGTATCACTATCCCACATGTGTCAGAAATGTGATGCTGCACCCTCTGTATGCATTCTATTTTTCCACTTAAAAAAAGCCCACAAAACAAATGGCCAAAAAAGGACCTTAATGATGGATAGACACAAGGGCACAAAGCATCTTTTGGATTGCTATCTGTACTGGTATGAGGCTGCTGGTGCACCAGTGTGTGGGTCATTTTTTCCATATTGGTCCTGCATACAATAAGATGTCACACTAGAAAGGGCTTTTGGTGCTTTGTTGTCTGTAGCTAATAGGAAAAGTTGATAAAGGGATGGGAGATCAGTGTTCCTGTTCAATAGACTTCAAGAATTTTTATAGAGACACCTGAAGCTCCAGAACCCCCACGTCTGCATGGAGGTTGGGTATGTTTGTCAGAAGCTGAATGCTCTTGCAAGAGTACAGCTAATTCATCAGAGTTCGTTCACACAAGCAGCTTTTCATTAGGAAGGGGACTTGATTAAACTTTATTTGTTTTAGTTTACTAATATTGGCATATGTCCAGTCCAGACTAGTACATAAATGCTTCTGTTTAATTGCACTGCTTATAAATGTATTCTGCCACTCTTTGTTTCATCAGCAGTTGTGTGAAAGCTCCTCAGATAACTAAATGGAATTAATCTTGTGGTGGGTCAGTAGTGGTGGGGTTGCAAGGAAGTAGTAAAGTATCTTTTTATCACTCTTTGCTGTTTCTTGGGTTAGCAGTGTTAAGATGTTACTTTTCTGTACATGTAAGCCTTTGTCTGATCTAGCCAGGATCATTTAAGCAAGTTCTCAAAAAGGCCTGTGTGCGTGACAACTCACTGATAAATGAGTTCTTTACTGTTCTTTACATTAGGTAACTGGATTTGTAAAGCTTGTCAGTACAGGATTTTGGTTAAGGCACATTAACAGATTAACTGTCTTGTCTTAACAGGAAAATGTTTATCGGCGGCCTTAGCTGGGACACTACAAAGAAAGATCTGAAGGACTATTTCTCTAAATTTGGTGAAGTTGTAGACTGCACTCTGAAGTTAGATCCAATCACTGGGCGATCGCGAGGCTTCGGCTTTGTACTCTTCAAAGAATCAGAGAGCGTAGATAAGGTAGTATTAACATAGTGAAACTACATATTGCATTTTAGGTAGCAGATATACAACACTAGGATGATTGTATGCATATTTATTTGTATGTGATCTGTTAAAGATGATTGTGGGATACAGTATATTTAAGATGCTTATTGAAATGTTTTTTTTTTCCTGAACTGTCTTACTTGTAATGCAGTGGCCAGGCTCAGAAATTATTCCCAAGGCATGGCTTTGGGTACTTACAGGGGAGTGTATTGCAAACCACTGTAAATGAATGCATGCTTCCTACTACTGTGAAAGTAGTAATTTATAAAGAACTTTAAGTCTTTGCATTCTAGAGTTGTCACATAATCCCCTAGAGCAGAGCCTATGGCTTTGATAGATTTGGCTTTATTCAAGCAAAAGTTAGCTGTTAACCTTTCTGAGATGGTATTTGACACAGCACACTGATAAGCTTTAGCCTTTGACCTTTAGTAGTATTTAAAGTACAGGTTCTTTACCTCATGAGGTTTGAGGATGGGATTCTAGAGTAGTTTGAGAAGTGTTAGACTCTCACTTGTGATAGATGGTACTAGGTGACTCTTGAAAGGCTTTGTCACCACTGTATGTGTCAGTGGGTAGTGATCAAAATCATGGAACTGTTTGGTTTTGTGAAACAAATTATTGCTGTAATCCAAGTACTGAAATTGAAGCAATAACATTAACAAAAAAAAAGTAAGTATAAAATAACTAAGCCTTGCTGAAAACATCAGTGAAACATTTAGCTTGAACCATGAATAAGATCATGTTTTAATTTTCAACAGGTCATGGACCAGAAAGAACACAAGCTGAATGGAAAGGTCATTGATCCAAAAAGAGCTAAAGCCATGAAAACAAAAGAACCTGTTAAAAAGATTTTTGTTGGGGGCTTATCTCCAGACACTCCTGAGGAGAAAATAAGGGAATATTTTGGAGGATTTGGTGAGGTATGTGGTGAAATAAACTGTTTATACTGTAGAACTTCTTCTGTCTTCACACATTTAGTAATAAAAAGCATCCCGCAAATGCAGCCTGCATGGTTGCTGCTATAAGTTTAATGGCCAGTGAAGCTCCATGTGTCTTAGGAGTCAGAATTCTAATGAGAAGGCTATTACAGGCTTTGAGTTGCATGAACTGGGTTAGTGGAAGGTGGTGCTGGGATAAATCAGTCAGGAACTAATTCATGGGATGTATGACAGTCTTGACTGGAATAGACCTGGGAGGCAGCGTTTTTGAGCATACTGCTTTGTTCAGTTGGGTGACATGCTTTTCAGCCACCCCAGCTGATCCGCTGTGGCACAGATTCAGACAGTTTTGCCTAAATTCTATGCAACTGTAGTCTCTGTCTCTCTCTGTCCCCGGTGTTTGGTGATGCAGGTGACAAAGTAGCACTGCAGTACTTAAAAGCTGGCTTTGTATGAGCTTTTTTACAGCTGCTGCTTCCCTATTAGTTCTTGGATGTTGCCAGCAGCAGGTCATAACTCTGCTGTCAGGGAATTCATTTGTCAGTCTTACTGCTGCCCTCTTGCTACCTCACAGAGAACTTACTCCTGTCTATAGATCTCCTTTGAAGTCTTGTGTGCCATATGTAAGGATAATTTTACTTTCTGTAGTCAGGTGTAAAATCTTAGCAACATTGTGGATGAACTTACACAAAGCTACATGTTTTTCATACGAAATTTGAACATTTAGGTCTGCTCAAGGTTTGAAAAACCTAGTTACTTCAGTCTTAACTGAGTTAAAACTGAAAGTCAAACTGAGACTATTTATCCAGCATAATTACAATATTCTTTGTGCACCACATTTTATATGAGTTCCTGAATGGGCAAATGATACTATGAGTTAGAGGGGAAAGAAATCTTTTACACAATTATGAACACTATTCATAGTGAAGGTGATGATTGTGATGTTGTTGATGGTGTCTAGTGATGTAAAGCCCACAAATGAGGTACATTATCATATTCAAGTCTAAATAATTTCAGTTAATAAATAGGACCTGTTAGAAACCTTTTTTAAGTGGCATGAATGGCAGGTTGAAAGATAAAATCACTGTCTTCTACCAGGTTGAATCAATAGAGCTCCCCATGGACAACAAAACTAACAAGAGGCGTGGATTTTGCTTCATTACTTTCAAGGAGGAGGAAGCAGTGAAGAAAATAATGGAAAAGAAATACCACAATGTTGGGCTTAGTAAAGTAGGTGAAGTTTTTCTAGAGAAACTGAATAATGACAGTAGAAAAGAATTGCATTATCTGTTGCCTCTGTTTTGGGATAAGAGTCTCAAAATATCTCTAAGCATTTATTTATCATATGTAGGAATTAAGACTATGAATTATTCATACAGGTGCTAGGAGTTACTGTAATCTTAACTTCTGACCTCAGGGTGTTTCTGGTGAGGTTTTGTACTGCACCGCATCTGAGGAGAGGGCTGGGTCACAGCGTGTTTTTTCATTATGAAGCTCCCACATTCTCTTGCTGTGTGGTGAGAATGCTGTGCCACTGATCTGCTGTATCAGACTGTGCCATGTTTTCCTGGTAGCTGGATCTCTGTGTGTTTAATATGGAATTATGCAAAATGTTAATGTATCTTAGAGTGCTCTCAAAACTGCAGTGAAATGGGAAGATAGGCTTTTCTCTTGGAAGTTATGTTCCTTTCAGTAACCTTGTTGAAATTCAACCTTGTAACAAAAACTCTGGTTGTAGCTGGCCTCTTTTTCACTGGATGAACGTGTAGTAGTTGAAGGCTCAGAACAGAGTTGACCATGCTTTTGTAACTCAGATTTGATTTCACTTTTCCTAGATAAACAGACCTCAGAGGTTTGTTTCAAAGAGACAAAGCCATACAAACAAGCATTCTTCTCAGAACTGGTTATACTGGCAGAAAATTAGGAAACTTTAAATGTTTGGGATTTTTTTATAACAGCAGTGTCTTACAACTGTTTTCAAGTTGGAGAGTATAAGCTCTCCATTTTTTTCAGGGAGAGCACTAGAGTGAGACCAAATCCTATTTTCTGCTTAGTGCTCTGTGAATTTAAGAATGATTTGTAGGTTATATCTTTGCTAATTGGATCTGACTTTAACTTTCCATTTCCAGTGTGAAATAAAAGTAGCCATGTCAAAGGAGCAGTACCAGCAGCAGCAGCAGTGGGGCAGTCGAGGAGGATTTGTTGGAAGAGCTCGAGGAAGAGGCGGAGGTAAGTTTGCACTGCCGTGGTATTGGAAGGCAAGGGGCTGGCTGAAATGAGAACGAGTCTCCTACAGCTATGAGTTTTATGTTTCAGGCCCCAGTCAAAACTGGAACCAGGGATACAGCAACTACTGGAATCAGGGGTATGGAAACTATGGCTACAACAGCCAAGGGTATGGAGGTTATGGAGGATATGACTACACTGGTTACAACAACTACTATGGATATGGTGATTATAGCAGTAAGTACTGTACTTCTTACATAAAGTCCTAATCTGCTGCTTTTAAAAAAATTGCTGCTACAGGTGTAGAAGATGGTTGTCTTGAA